TAGGAGCTACACAAATGGTAAGAGTCAACCGTTCTGGAGGTAAAGATGTCAGATGAAAGAATATTCGAAATTTTCATTGTAATTACCCTATTCTTCAATTTCATTTAAATTACATGGTAAACATTCATCAAGGAGATGCAAATTAAAAATCAGCTCTACATTGGTAGATCCAAAATAAGATCTACAGACCAACAGGCCCGTTAGGACGGTGGACCTACATTGCCAACACATATACACAGGGAGTTTTTTAGTTTTGGTCTAGAGCATTAGGAAAGTTCAGCAAAAACCTTAGACATAGAAATGATTTGTATAGCTCAAACTACTCTGAAAATCACATTCTAACTCCTACAAGAAAAGAAATCTCCAAATTAGCTGAGTCTCCCAACAAAAAATTCGATGATGAAATACTTTCACTGAAGGAGTCTTACGTTAGATTAAATATTCCGGATGGTAATTTATACATCTATTTTGCCAAATGTAGTTTACTTTACTATAAAATGTCTATAAAACGATGGTAAATCTTACCTGTGCTAAGAAAATACATAAAATTGCTCATTAGAGAGCCGAGTTGAATGAATAAGGTATATTCTAACTTTTAAGTGCTTGTTAGTAGAGGTCATTTACATTGTTTTGCTTCCCAATTTAAATTTATTGATGGCTCTGGAGGCGCACTGATGTTCACTGCACATGCATCACTTCAACGTTGCACGCACCTTCTTACCTCCGCTACCTGTTAGAAATAATTGCTGAAAACTCTTCCCAAAGATAACTAACAAATAATTTTCATTGAACTGAAAAGATAACTTTGTAACAGGACACGGACGGAAAGATTTCTGTTCCTAGCACCTTTTCTATTAACACTAATCATGGAATTAAAAAAAAAAAACCAGTGTATGTTCTTCATCTGTTGGTTTTACCTTTGGGTATATTTCAGTAGGAGTAATCCTGAAAAGTTAATTCAAATGATTCACTTAATGTAAATTGGGGGCTCTATTTCCTTAAAACATAGCCCAAATCCATTTACTGCTTTCCGTCTCCATTGCTACCTACTGCCTTGATCCAAGGCTGCTACAACTGTCTCCTAAATGGGGCTCCTGATTCCTCTTTACAAGTCATTTTTTTTCACATTGCAGCCATAGTGATTATTTTTTTTAGGAACATGAATATGATATCACTTCTCTGCATAAAACCTTCCAAGGAACTTTCTATGGCACCTAGAAAAGAAATCCAAATCCTCCACCGGGACCAGTTTGGTCCCTAGCCCCCAAATCTTCCAGGCAAACAGGCTCCCTGCCCCTGCTTCCTCCAAGCTCACTGTCAACACAGGACCTTTGCACTGGCTCTTCCATTTGCCTGGAACATTCTCCAACCAGCTTTGTCTGGCCACTGCTTCTCATCAACTCAGGTGTCAGCAGAGTTGTCCCCTCCACAGAGAGCTCCTGCCTGAGCACCCCATCACCTTATTTAATAGTATTCCTCCATCTACAAAAATTGTATTTGTATCTGTGTATCACCTGTCTCTTCCTATTAGCATATAAGCCCAGTGACAGCAGGGCCCTAGTCTATTTTTGGTTTTTGCTATATCCTTGCCACTAAAACAGTACCTAGCACATAGCAGCCAGTAAATGTTTGTTGATGAATGTTAATCACCCCAGTGCAGCGGTTAAGTGCCTAGGGTTGAAATACCCCAGAAGTTAGATCAATCTGAGTTGAAATACCAGGTTTGCTATTTGCTAGCTCTGAGGCTTAAGTTAATCTTTTCCAAAGACTTGACTTCTTCATAAAACAGAAACATTCATGGGGCAAAAGATAAATCCAAATTTAAATGAGGGAACTGGGACTCAAGTTTGCCTGGTCAGAGATCACACTCTTCTTCCAGGTTCTGCTTCATATAGACTCTGCCTCTTAATCCCAATCTGAGATTTAAGGTCCCTTATGGAGGGGT